ATATAGTACAGATGGGTGAAGGGGGAGGGAGGGGATATAGTACAGATGGGTGAAGGGGGAGGGAGGGGATATAGTACAGATGGGTGAAGGGGGAGGGAGGGGATATAGTACAGATGGGTGAAGGGGGAGGGAGGGGATATAGTACAGATGGGTGAAGGGGGAGGGAGGGGATATAGTACAGATGGGTGAAGGGGGAGGGAGGGGATATAGTACAGATGGGTGAAGGGGGAGGGAGGGGATATAGTACAGATGGGGGAAGGGGAAGGGAGGGGATATAGTACAGATGGGGGAAGGGGAAGGGAGGGGATATAGTACAGATGGGGGAAGGGGAAGGGGAGGGGATATAGTACAGATGGGGGAAGGGGAAGGGAGGGGATATAGTACAGATGGGGGAAGGGGAAGGGAGGGGATATAGTACAGACAGATGGGGAAAGGGGAAGGGAGGGGATATAGTACAGATGGGGGAAGGGGAAGGGAGGGGATATAGTACAGATGGGGGAAGGGGAAGGGAGGGGATATAGTACAGATGGGGGAAGGGAGGGGATATAGTACAGATGGGGGAAGGGAGGGGATATAGTACAGATGGGGGAAGGGAGGGGATATAGTACAGATGGGGGAAGGGAGGGGATATAGTACAGATGGGGGAAGGGAGGGGATATAGTACAGATGGGTAAGGGGAAGGGAGGAGGGGATACAGTACAGGGCGATCTAGTACAGACATGCAGGGGGGGGGAGTAGCTACTACCGACATGCTTGGGGGGGGGATAGCTACTACGGACATGCGGGGGGAGGGGGGGGATAGCTACTACGGACATGCGGGGGGAGGGGGGGGGAGGGGGGATAGCTACTACGGACATGCGGGGGGGAGGGGGGATAGCTACTACGGACATGCGCGGGGATAGCTACTAAGGACATGGGGGGGGGGGAGGGGGGATAGCTACTAAGGACATGGGGGGGGGAGGGGGGATAGCTACTACGGACATGCGGGGGGGGGAGGGGGGATAGCTACTACGGACATGCGGGGGGGGAGGGGGGATAGCTACTACGGACATGCGGGGGGGGGGGGGGGATAGCTACTACGGACATGCGGGGGGGGGGAGGGGGGATAGCTACTACGGACATGCGGGGGGGGATAGCTACTACGGACATGCGGGGGGGAGGGGGGATAGCTACTACGGACATGCGGGGGGGGGGAGGGGGGATAGCTACTACGGACATGCGGGGGGGGGGGGGGGGGGGGATAGCTACTACGGACATGCGGGGGGGGGGGGGAGGGGGGATAGCTACTACGGACATGCGGGGGGGGGGGAGGGGGGATAGCTACTACGGACATGCGGGGGGGGGGGGGGATAGCTACTACGGACATGCGGGGGGGGGGAGGGGGGATAGCTACTACGGACATGCGGGGGGGGAGGGGGGATAGCTACTACGGACATGCGGGGGGGAGGGGGGATAGCTACTACGGACATGCGGGGGGGAGGGGGGATAGCTACTACGGACATGGGGGGAAGCTACTACAGACATGCGGGGGGGGGAATAGCTACTACGGACATGCGGGGGGGGGGGGGGGGGGGATAGCTACTACGGACATGCGGGGGGGGGGGGGACAGCTACTACGGACATGCGGGGGGGGGGGAGGGGGGATAGCTACTACGGACATGCGGGGGGGGGGGGATAGCTACTACGGACATGCGGGGGGGGGATAGCTACTACGGACATGCGGGGGGGGGGATAGCTACTACGGACATGCGGGGGGGGGAGGGGGGATAGCTACTACGGACATGCGGGGGGGAGGGGGGATAGCTACTACGGACATGCGGGGGGGGGAGGGGGGATAGCTACTACGGACATGCGGGGGGGGGACATAGCTACTACGGGGGGGGGGGATAGCTACTACGGACATGCGGGGGGGGGAGGGGGGATAGCTACTACGGACATGGGGGGGGGGGAAGCTACTACAGACATGCGGGGGGGGGGGGATAGCTACTACAGACATGCGGGGGGGGGGGGGGGGATAGCTACTACAGACATGCGGGGGGGGGGGGGGGATAGCTACTACAGACATGCGGGGGGGGGGGATAGCTACTACAGACATGCGGGGGGGGGGGATAGCTACTACAGACATGCGGGGGGGGGGGATAGCTACTACAGACATGCGGGGGGGTGGGATAGCTACTACAGACATGCGGGGGGGGGGGGGGGGATAGCTACTACAGACATGCGAGGGGGGGGGGGGGATAGCTACTACAGACATGCGAGGGGGGGGGGGGGGATAGCTACTACAGACATGCGAGGGGGGGGGGGGGATAGCTACTACAGACATGCGAGGGGGGGGGGTAGCTACTACAGACATGCGAGGGGACATGGGGGGGGGGGGATAGCTACTACAGACAGGAGGGAGGGGATCTTGTACAGATGGGTAAGGGGGGAGGGGGATATCTAGTGCAGATATGCGGGGGGGGGATCTAGTGCAGATATGCGGGGGGATCTAGTGCAGATATTCCAGGAGGGGGGGGATCTAGTGCAGATATTCCAGGAGGGGGGGGGGGATCTAGTGCAGATATTCCAGGAGGGGGGGGGATCTAGTGCAGATATTCCAGGAGGGGGGGGGATCTAGTGCAGATATTCCAGGAGGGGGGGGATCTAGTGCAGATATTCCAGGAGGGGGGGGGGGGGTCTAGTGCAGATATTCCAGGAGGGGGGGGGGGGGTCTAGTGCAGATATTCCAGGAGGGGGGGGGGGGATTAGTGCAGATATTCCAGGAGGGGGGGGGAGATCTAGTGCAGATATTCCAGGAGGGGGGGGATCTAGTGCAGATATTCCAGGAGTGCAGGGGGGGGGGGGATCTAGTGCAGATATTCCAGGAGGGGGGGGATCTAGTGCAGATATTCCAGGAGGGGGGGATCTAGTGCAGATATTCCAGGGGGGGGGGATCTAGTGCAGATATTCCAGGGGGGGGGGGGGGGATCTAGTGCAGATATTCCAGGGGGGGGGATCTAGTGGGGGGGAGGGGGGGGGGATCTAGTGCAGATATTCCAGGGGGGGGGGGATCTAGTGCAGATATTCCAGGAGGGGGGGGATCTAGTGCAGATATTCCAGGAGGGGGGGGATCTAGTGCAGATATTCCAGGAGGGGGGGGGGATCTAGTGCAGATATTCCAGGAGGGGGGGGGATCTAGTGCAGATATTCCAGGAGGGGGGGGGAGATCTAGTGCAGATATTCCAGGAGGGGGGGGGAGATCTAGTGCAGATATTCCAGGAGGGGGGGGGGATCTAGTGCAGATATTCCAGGAGGGGGGGGGAGATCTAGTGCAGATGTTCCAGGAGGGGGGGGGAGATCTAGTGCAGATGTTCCAGGAGGGGGGGGGAGATCTAGTGCAGATGTTCCAGGAGGGGGGGGGAGATCTAGTGCAGATGTTCCAGGAGGGGGGGGGAGATCTAGTGCAGAGTTCAGGAGGGGGGTGAGATTCTAGTGAGGGGGGGGGGTGAGATCTAGTGCAGAGATTCCAGGAGGCAGAGATTCCAGGGGGGAGATCTAGTGCAGAGATTCCAGGAGGGGGGTGGATCTAGTGAGATCTGAGTGCAGAGATTCCAGGAGGGGGGTGAGATCTAGTGCAGAGATTCCAGGAGGGGGGTGAGATCTAGTGCAGAGATTCCAGGAGGGGGGTGAGATCTAGTGCAGAGATTCCAGGAGGGGGATCTAGTGCAGAGATCCAGGAGTGCATCTAGAGATTCCAGGAGGGGGGTGAGATCTAGTGCAGAGATTCCAGGAGGGGGGTGAGATCTAGTGCAGAGATTCCAGGAGGGGGGTGAGATCTAGTGCAGAGATTCCAGGAGGGGGGTGAGATCTAGTGCAGAGATTCCAGGAGGGGGGTGAGATCTAGTGCAGAGATTCCAGGAGGGGGGGAGATGTGCAGAGATTCCAGGAGGGGGGTGAGATCAGTGCATAGATTCCAGGAGGGGGGGTGAGATCTAGTGCAGAGATTCAGGAGGGGGTGAGATCTAGTGCAGAGATTCCAGGAGGGGGGTGAGATCTAGTGCAGATATTCCAGGAGGGGGGTGAGATCTAGTGCAGATATTCCAGGAGGGGGGTGAGATCTAGTGCAGATATTCCAGGAGGGGGGTGAGATCTAGTGCAGATATTCCAGGAGGGGGGTGGATCTAGTGCAGATATTCCAGGAGGGGGGTGAGATCTAGTGCAGATATTCCAGGAGGGGGGGGGGGGATCTAGTGCAGATATTCCAGGGGGGGGGGGAGTGCAGATATTCCAGGAGAAGGGGGAATCTAGTGCAGATATTCCAGGAGGGGGGGGTCTAGTGCAGATATTCCAGGAGGGGGGGGGGGTCTAGTGCAGATATTCCAGGAGAAGGGGGAATCTAGTGCAGATATTCCAGGAGGGGGGGGGGGTCTAGTGCAGATGTGTAAAAGAAGTTTCCATCTGAAAACATGAATTTTGCAGGCCATTTGCACTGCCAGCTGTCACAGCCATGCCTGGAGGTTTGCAGTAGGGGATATCTATGGGTAAAGCCTTCTCAGGATCCAAGCCTATAAATAGAAGTACTAGAAGGGTGCCTGCCTTGTGCTATCTGCAGATCAATGTCTTCCTGCTGGTGTGGGTGCTCCCCTCCACACTGGGGTGTATATGTCAGAGAAGTGTGCAGGAGGTGATCAGCCAGGGTGGTGGTGAGGAGATCCTCCAGGTAGAGGACATCAGGTACCATATGTCAGCAGGGTGCACACAGCAGGTGCAGGTCAGAGGTCAGACTCCTCCTGATCAGGGAAGTGATCAGACAACACCTGTCAGGTGCGGAGGAGGATCCCACCCAGGGACGATCTCCTCCTGCCATCCCCCGTCTCTATGACCTGGCAGCCCTATACAGGGAGGAGGCTACAAAGCACAGAGGAGTCTGCTCTCTATAAGCAGCATCAGCTGATCTCCTGAAGTGATGGCCACGATCCAGGGCAGGGTTGGGGGCAATGTCTGAGGTATGGAGGTCTCACCCAGGGCTATGTATCGCCGATTCACCCCTGTCTTGGCCTCGATCTTCTCCAGCAGGTCGGTACACACGTTCTTCTGCTTCAGGAACTTCTCGAAGCCGTCCTTCAGCGCTGCAGCCATGCTGAGTATGTGTCCCGATAGACGGCGGACTGCGAGAGAGTGCGGAGGGCTGGGAGCTGCCTGTCTGAGATGGCTGATGTCAGGGGCGGGGCTTAGAGCGGGGCTGACGACTAGTCATCATTCAGGCCAAACCACTGAGAGGAGGAGGAGCAGCAGAGCTGGCAGATGGCAGACGTCTGTACTTCTATTACGGACCAGTGCTGCAACCAACCACACACCCAGAGCACACTGCGGACAGCACACAGCTTTCTTCTAATGGATAGGATAGGAGGTGTCACTTACCTCAGGACACGGGATTCTCCCCACTATAAAGATCACAGACTCCTCTAATGTATAAAGAAGAGAGGTGTCACCTCAGGACACAGAATCCTATCATTTATGTAAGGAGGAGAGGTGACACCTCAGGGCACAGGCTCCTCTAATGTATGAAGAGGAGAGTTGTCACCTCAGGGCACAGGCTCCTCTAATGTATGAAGAGGAGAGTTGTCACCTCAGGGCACAGGCTCCTCTAATGTATGAAGAGGAGAGTTGTCACCTCAGGGCACAGGATCCTCTAATGTACGAAGAGGAGAGTTGTCGCCTCAGGGCACAGGCTCCTCTAATGTATGAAGAAGAGAGGATCCTCTAACCTATGAAGAGGAGAGTTGTTGCCTCAGGGCACAGAATCCTCTAACATATCAAGAGGAGAGTTGTTGCCTCAGGGCACAGGATCCTCTAATGTATGAAGAGGAGAGTTGGGCCCTCAGGACACAGACTCCTCTAATGTATGAAGAGGAGAGTTGTTGCCTCAGGGCACAGGCTCCTCTAAGGTATGAAGAGGAGAGTTGTCACCTCAGGGCATAGGCTCTTCTAATGTATGAAGAAGAGAGGATCCTCTAACCTATGAAGAGGAGAGTTGTTGCCTCAGGGCACAGGATCCTCTAATGTAAGAAGAGGAGAGTTGTTGCCTCAGGGCACAGGATCCTCTAATGTAAGAAGAGGAGAGTTGTTGCCTCAGGGCACAGGATCTTCTAATGTATGAAGAGGAGAGTTGTTGCCTCAGGGCACAGGCTCCTCTAATGTATGAAGAGGAGAGTTGTCACCTTAGGGCACAGGCTCCTCTAATGTATGAAGTGGAGAGTTGTCACCTCAGGGCACAGGCTCCTCTAATGTATGAAGAGGAGAGTTGTCGCCTCAGGGCAGAGGATCCTCTAATGTATGAAGAGGAGAGTTGTCACCTTAGGGCACAGGCTCCTCTAATGTATGAAGTGGAGAGTTGTCACCTCAGGGCACAGGCTCCTCTAATGTATGAAGAGGAGAGTTGTCGCCTCAGGGCAGAGGATCCTCTAATGTATGAAGAAGAGAGTTGTCGCCTCAGGACACAGGCTCCTCTAATGTATGAAGAGGAGAGTTGTCTCCTCAGGGCACAGGATCCTCTAATGTATGAAGAGGAGAGTTGTTGCCTCAGGGCACAGGCTCCTCTAAGGTATGAAGAGAAGAGTTGTCACCCTCAGGGCATAGGCTCCTCTAATGTATGAAGAAGAGAGGATCCTCTAACTTCTGAAGAGGAGAGTTGTTGCCTCAGGGCACAGGATCCTCTAATGTAAGAAGAGGAGAGTTGTCGCGTCAGGGCACAGGATCCTCTAATGTATGAAGAGAAGAGTTGGGCCCTCAGGACACAGACTCCTATAATGTATGAAGAGGGAGAGATGTAGCCTCTTCATAGCCTCTGCAGACTCTACAAAAGGACTTCCTATTCTCATGGAGGGAGAAAGAATTAGGCTACCTAGGAGTAAAGTTGACCCCTTCTATAAAAAAATATATACCGGGTAACCGAGTAACAGCTCGAGAGGAGAGCCGGTAATCGGCTTTCCGCGGAGGGGACATGTACACTGATCATCAGGGCACTGATGATCAGTGTGGCCCCAGAAGTGCCACCTGTCAGTGTCCATCAGTGCCAGCAGTCAGTGCTCATCAGTGCCACGTGCCAGTGCCCATCAGTGCCATCATATCAGTGCATACCAGTGCACATCAGTGCCACATATCAGTGCCCATCAGTGCCCATCTGACATACCAGTGCACATCAATGTGCCACATATCAGTGCCCATCTGAGCTGTCTTTCAGTGTCACCCATCAGTGCCAGTCAGTGCCACCTATCAGTGCCATTCTGTGCCGCCTATCAGTGCCGCATCAGTGCCGCCGCCTATCAGTGCCGCCTATCAGTGCCGCCTATCAGTGTCATGTATCAGTGCTGCCTTTCAGTGCCCATCAGTGATGCCTGTCAATGCCCATCAGTGCAACCTACCAGTGCCTCCTCATCAGTGCCCATCAGTGCCACCCATATCAGTGCCCATCACTGCAGCCTCATTAGCGCACATCAGTGAAGGAGAAAAATCACTTGTTTACAAAATTGTATAACAAAAACTAAGAAAAAAATTTTTTTTTTTTCAAAATTTTCAGTGGTTTTTGGTTTGTTTAAGAAAAAATAAAAATCCCAGAGGTGATTAACAACCACCAAAAGAAAGCTCTATCTGTCTCAAAAATATGATAAAAATTTAATTTGGGTACAGTGTTGCATGACCGCGCAATTGTCATTCAAAGTGTGACAGCGCTGAAAGCTGGAAATTGGCCTGGGCAGGAAGGGGGTATAAGTGCCTGTAGGCTAGTGGTTAAATAAGTTTATAAAACACAAAACCTGCACTTAGATATAAACACACTCCAAATTCAGAAAAAGGGGCAATAAAGCAAAAAAGCAGCTAGCACACAAAAGGCGATATTACAAAAGTGAACAGAAGAAATGCAGTGCTAATTATAAAATATATAAATGTTAGAACTAAAAATCCATATAGATCCTCAAGTAAATTAAACAAGTTGCTGGAGAAGATTCTGATGTCATAAGCCGTCATCATACACCCGAAAAAATTAACCCCTTACCGGGCGTTCGGACCATATAACACCGGTCAATATGCGCAGTGTGATAGGGAAATCAGTATGACAGGTAATCTTCAATAGAAATCCTCTCCCAAGTATAGGATGGTTCGTCCCCTTTAAAGATCTCCAAACCTTGAAGAAACTCTCATCCGATAGTCAAAGAGTAAAGGATAAAAGCAACTCATAGTGCAGTACTTCTTTAAAGTTTTGGCAAATTTATTAAAAGATCCATGTACATCAAGAATGAAAAAAAAACAGCATTGAATATGAATTGTTTCAAACCAAAAATATGGCCGCCGTCCCTCCAGAACGTGGTGACGTCACACGCCAAAGCATAAAATACAATAAATTAGCAGTTCTTCTCTTTTCTAAGTAGCTTGCTCATATCTAAACTCTGCAGCTTAGAACATGTATTTAAGAAAAAGAAGGACAAACATGAATCAAGCCTATTGAAATATATAATTTTAAATTTTTGTGCCTTTGTTGCACATGTGTACCATGGAAAAACCGGTTGCATTGAATCAAGAAAATTCGTAAAGGGAGTCTCAGACACTTTTTATAATTCCATTAGGCTGGCACACCAAATCATTGGTTCTTTAACTTGATTCATATATCTGTCAGAAACAGACATGTGAATCTTTCCATATTGGACACTGAGACTAGAGCCGGCCATACATGGGTCGAAATTCAACCGTTTTTTTTATCCGAAAATCGGACCAAGAATAATCGGCCGATTTTCGCTCTGTTAGTTGGTCAATGGCACTTGCCAATTTTCATGGTTCCTCCCCTTTTTGGTGATCGGGTATATTGGAAAATTCATGAAAAACGACCGATTTTCAACTTAATGATGGTCAAATCTTATGATAATGTTTCCGAAAAGAATATGTGCATGAGCCGTGACCTGGAAGGAACAGAAGTTTCGCCTGTTATATGGGGTGAACTTTATGACTTGGTCGGCCGATTTTCGAAATCATTGATGGCACCATCGGATTACCAAGCGAACAATGTTTTCGATTTTAGGACGAAAAATCGTTCGGTATTCAAACCATGTATGGCCTGCATAGCTCCTAATCAGGTCCAAATTGCTATTGATTGACAACGCACGGCAGTGAGCTGGTTCATAGCTGCTATTTAGTCCAATAGTGGCTTTCAAATGCACCCACTGCCATTCAATCAACAGTAAAAGCAGACCTTATGGAGAACTATAGTCTCCCATTTCCCCATAAAGCTCCACCCATCCAACAGGAGCTATGGCCTTGGGGAATTCCCCATCAGGTTCGCCTCACCTGTGACTGGACATTGCCATATTTTAGTAATGACCAGGAGTGGACTGAGAACTCATGGGGCCCCCGGGCAATAGAAAATCATGTGGCCCCTGTGTCCTCACCCATACTCAATCCACACCCAAAAAAGCCTATGAAAGGTACCAGGGGCATCTCATGGGGCCCCCTACTGACCCTGGGACCTCGGGCACTGCCCGAGTGGCTAAATGGTCAGTCCGCCCCTGGTAATGACATCACCAGTATCCCCCATTTTTTTATATACCCATTTTTTTATATTCAGATTTGGACCTGGGATGCTAAATGGGATAAGAGATAGAGCTCTTCATAGGAAGCTGTCACATACATGACAGATTCCCAGCACAGACATGCCCCACTCTGAGCACTGTGTACATCTGTATGCCAACTCAGAGCTGGTCTTAATTTAGTTTCCTAATCTGTAACTGACAGTAATTCTTTAAGAATCTGTTGCTACCATAGTGAGAGTAAGGCTCCATGTACACGGGACACTTCTGAACGATGGAAACTGACTGCTGGAAAACGTAGGTTAAAAAACGTCTGTTTAGCCTCATTTGCATACCGTGTTTATGCGAGTTTGTGTTTAGAAGCATTTTTTAAAGATAACCTCAGGAGACCTTCCAAAATGCCCAGAATGCACTGAAAAACAGTAAAAAAAAAATAAACTATTTCAGACATTTTGAGAGAAATAGGGAGAGCAGAAGCAGAGAGAGCAGTATTTGTTGAGATTAGCTGTCTTTTTTTTTTTTGCTTTGTGGTGTTTGGATGTGTTCCAGCTCATTTCTGTGCAGAAATTATTGCAGCAGTGTCTAACATATTTTCTTTTATGTGAAACCTCAAAGTATGGTGTACCAGGTCCATTTGAGTACCGGGAAAACGCTTTGCATGCATTTTTCATGATGAAAAAAGGCTCTGGACAGCATCTGGAAATGGAAGAGTTAAAAATGCTTATAAACGCGTTTAGCTGCGCTTGGCGTTGGAAACGCTGATAAAATCTACTCCTGAACGCAAGTTTGGTGCATTCAAAAAAAGGACTGTAAACTCAACTGCCTGTAAACGACTGTAAACAACATAGTATACATGGACACATAGGAAAACATTAGGGAGAGTTCATGAGCTGCTGAAAAAAACGCAGAAAAGCTCCTAAATGTGAGTTTATCAGCTGCAGTGTACATGGAGCCTAAGAACTATCTGAATTTGCCACAAATGTTGGCGATATTACTGAAACTGATACAACTGCTTGCCTGAAATTGGTGCAGGTAGTTCTAAAGGGACCTACCATCAGAAAATAGTCGTAAATGCTTTATTGAATTTCCTCCCTTTGCATAGCCAGTGAACAAAAAACAAATATGTGCTTCATATAAACATAACTTGCATAAACACATGCAGTAATATATTTTTTTTCTAAAAATATGTTAATGAAAGTGCATTGAAATGAAAGGGCCTGCAGCATTTTTGTGCATTTATGCATGTCAGGCAGACCTATGACACAAGAACAAAATATGCGCAAAACACATTAAGCCAAATGCATACAGTAATGTTACTGCATGTGTGTTGGAGAAAGGGCCAACATAGTGCACAGGCAGCAATGATGATTTGTAACTTGATTAACAGGCAATAATGTGTTAAAACGCAGAATGTAATTCTGTTGAATTCCAGTGTGTTATTTAATGCAAGTCTATTGAGAGAAAGATGTGATAGGAAAAAAAAACTCTTCAAAGAGGTATCATTTTATCAGATTTCCCACCATGTGCAAATATTGGCATCTCACCAACAGCAATTTCTGCTTTCATGTGCCATTGTTCACAGGTCATACAGATTTCAGTACTACTGTTACCTGTATCACATATTCAGCTGACTATTTTTTTTCACATTCAAATTTGTCTGAATGGTTTGCAAAGGATATTTAAAACAACATCACATGGCACCCGTGTCTGTAAAATATTTGCTAAATAATTTCCATGTTTGTTACCTTGGACACTTTAGAACGTATTAGTGATGATACCCTCACAAAAATACTCTACTGAGCAGTGTGGAGCATTGCAGTGCCCTTTATTGTGAATGGCACCCCAGTGTAATTGTACAGTATAGCACAATGCACTGCAGCACACTGCGTTAACAAAAATGGTAATGTTTAGATTTATGTTTAGACTGTACCCACTTAAAAAGAGGAATATCGTTTTTTTTTTTTTAAATGCGTCGTCAGTCTATTCATAATGAGGCATACCACAATGTACATTGACACGTGTGCATTAAAGGGTAACTCCACTTTTGAGAAAAAAAAGTAGCAAATAAAAAAAAAAAAAATAATATAGCATATACAATTGCAACGCAAGTCATATTGTAATTAAATGTTATTAAAAATTACCTTTTTCTTTTCAATTTGCAGCGCTGTAATTAGGAAGGGGGAATGAAGGAAGAGGATAGATGCTGGAAGGGGGAATTTATACTAAGTGTGGGATTGGGGGAAGGGATTTGTGTTAGGAGAGGGGATTGGGGAGGGGGGAATTTTGTGCTAAATAGGGGACTCGGGGAAGGGATTTGTGTTAGGAGTGGGGATTGGGGAGGGGGAATTTTGTGCTAGGAGGGGGGAATTTATGCTAGGAGAGGGGACTGGGGGGGATTTTAGCTAGGTGAAGGGATTGTTGGGGGATTTGTGTTAGGAGGGGGATTGTTGGGGGATTTGTGTTAGGAGAGGGGATTTGAGGGGATTTGTGTTAGGAGAGGGGATTGGGGGGATTTGTGTTAGGAGAGGGGATTGGGGGGATTTGTGTAGGAGAGGGGATTGGGGGGATTTGTGCTAGGAGAGGGGATTGGGGGGGATTTGTGCTAGGAGAGGGGATTGGGGGGATTTGTGTTAGGAGAGGGGATTGGGGGAAGGGGATTCGGGGGATTTGTGCTAGGATTGGGGATTGGGGGATTTGTGCTAGGAGAGGGGATTGAGGGGGATTTGTGTTAGGAGAGGGGATTGGGGGAATTTGTGCTAGGAGAGAGGGGGATTTGTGTTGGGGGGGGATTGGGGGAATTTGTGTTAGGAGAGGGGATTGGGGGAATTTGTGCTAGGAGAGGGGATTGAGGGGGATTTGTGTTAGGAGAGGGGATTGGGGGAATTTGTGCTAGGAGAGGGGATTGGGGGGATTTGTGCTAGGATTGGGGATTGGGGGAATTTGTGCTAGGAGAGGGGATTGAGGGGGATTTGTGTTAGGAGAGGGGATTGGGGGGGATTTGTGCTAGGAGAGGGGATTGGGGGGGATTTGTGCTAGGAGAGGGGATTGAG